GAAGAGAGAAGGCCGGAGGTGGAGATCGATTTGGGTTCGCCGTCGCTTCTGCTCTGGTTTCCGTTCGAAGGAGGAAGGAAATGAACAGTAGGTTAGTTTAGATTGAAAACCTAGGTGGGTTATTATATGTAGGGCATAATGGCATTTTGGTAAATTTTGGGAAATACAGGGGTATTTTAGTAATTTTCGAAAAACTGGGTCAAATCATGTATTTGTGTATATATGGACCAACAAGATTGAGTGAAATGGTATCTTTTTAGATAGATAGGTAAATGGGGGTATTTTTTTACTACAATTCGGCAATGTGAGGTTTTTGGACATTTTGAATTAATTGATGGGGTCAAAATGGGCCAAATGGGCTGGATCGAGCAGATCTGGAAAAGGGTTTGATTTAGTTAATATGGAGCCTTAGAACAAAATTTGTGTGTGATCGAAGGAAACAAAGACAGTTTTGGGTGAAATTTCACAAGGTAGAGTTTTTGGGTGGTATGAGGTGATTGATAAGGTTAGATTGGGCCAATTAAGCCTGGATCCGGTAGATTTGGAATTCGATCAATCTAGAGCTTTGAAATAGAATCTTGGCACAATTGAGGGTACATGGAGGTGTTTTGGGCTGAAATTTCATATGTAGGGGTTTTCTAGAATTTTGGGGTGATTGGTTTAGATGTGTTTGGATCAAGTGGATATGGGTTGTGAGTGTGAGAGGGGTCAAATTGGAATCTTTGTTTGATGAGGGGGTAAATAGGGGAATTTTGGGTTAAAATTTTATTGACAGGTACTTTGTTGTGTCTGGAGTCTAATGATGGTGCTTGATCAGCTCAAGGGTGTCAAGATCGTAAAAAATTGGGTTAACGAGATGTTTTGGAATGAAATCTTGGTTCGATGGAAGGGCAAATGGGGGAATCTAGGGTTAGGACTTTATGGAAAGGTGTTTTGATGTATTCAAAGTTTAATGATGTGGTTTGATCGGTTTGGATGTGTTTGAATCAAATGGATCTGGGTTGTGAGTGTTTTAAGCTAACAAGAGGGCTTAAAAAGAAATCTTGACTTGAAGAAAGGGTAAGCAGAGGAATCTTAATTTCAAATTTCATGGGTAGGTGTTCTGGGAGGTCCTGGGTCTGATGGTTGTATCTAATCTAATGGTTGAGGTGTAAGTTGGGGTCAATCGTGGCCATCGAATAGGTATTGGGTAGGTTTAACAGTGGACCTAAGGATATTCGAGGTAAAATTTGGGTTTATTGGGTTTTTAGATGTTTTGGAGAGGTTGGAAGGGTCTGATAGAGAATTTGGGGGGAATTGTGGTTTAGGTGACGAATCGAGTAAAAAATCAGGTGTTGACACCACCCCACCCCTTTATTAAGTAAAAGGCCTAGAATTGAAAATGCCTATCCAAGCCTAGGAAATACCATTTTCTGGATTAGTATTCCAAAAATTCTGCTTTCTTAGATATTTTTGGGTCCCCACATGTACCCAAAGATTTTGCCTCGCTTTTAATATTTTCCATCCTAACTTAGTAAGACAAGCCTTATTACCCAATAGAGGTTTTTAAGGCCCAACCCATCCCAACTCTTGGGGAGACATATCACTTCCTTTGTCCCATATGAAATTCCACTGACTTTTATTTTTATCTTCAATAACACTATTTAGGATTTTAAAGGATCTCATGATGAACTAGGGCATAGTACTAACATTCGAGAAGTTGAATGCTTTACTTGCCAAGGAAAGGGTTTTTCTTTTTCCACCCTACAAGTTTGTTCTGAATTTTCACTTTGAGATTAGAAAATAATTTCTTAGAAACTTGACCATTAATTATTAGAGCCCCTAATGAGAGTCATTCTTTTTTTCCAGAGGTATTCTTAACAATCTTGACATACTCTTTTGAAGTCTGTTTGGAATATTCTTAGAGAATTTCAAAGTTGATTTGACAAACTTTGGGCTTTAACCTGAAGTTTCAGAAAACTTCAATAAAATTTTTTTGACTTTCAAGCAATCAGGAATGGCTGTTTTGGCAAATATCAAACAATCATTAGCAAATTGGAGAATAGGCACACAAGGTCCATCTTTGAAGCTCTACAACCACTGGGACTCTTGTGTTTGTTTGCTTCCTCCACAAAATTTCTAGTAAGTGCTTCTACACAAAGAACAAAGATGTAAAGGGATAGGGGATCACCTTGCTTAATACTCCTAAAGGGTTCAAATTTCCTTGTAGGAAACCTATTGACTAAAATTTGGTAAGAAATTGATTTAATACATGTCATGACCCAATCAATCCACTTCTTGTGAAATCCAAATTTATTGAAAACTTTCTCAATAAACTTCAACTCATGTTTATCATATGCTTTCTCCATATCTATTTTACAAGCCATCATTCCCAAGATCCCCCTCTTTTTCATAGTATACATCATTTCATGAACAATTAAAATATTATCATTGATTTTTCTATTGAGGATAAAGGCACTTTGGAAAGGGGAGATAATAGAATCAAGAAAATGGTTTTATTCTCAAGATCCCCTTCTCCCTCATGATTTTCATCGAATCACTATCCTCATAGTTGTCAATAATTTTAGTAAGATTTTCATTTTCCTTCTCTACCTCTTTAGGCTTTGGATCGATGCATCGTGGAGTTCTCCTTCCTCTTTTCTTCATTTAAGTCCATCACTTGGTTGTTGATGGATTTATGCTTTTTAACCCTTTTTTTTTCATTTTGAATTGTTGTTTCTATTGGAAATATGGTTGCATGACTTGTATTCAAGAAAGAAGTTCAGGTCGGGCCCTTGGCATGTTCAAACCTCTAGCTTCCACTCCAGTTATATTGCGTTTTAGCTTGCGCTCTCTCCTTTGTGGGATCATTCTTAGGGGGGCGTTCTTTTTTTGGATTTTGAGAGGGGGAATAGTTGGTCAATGGAATTTTGGTTCCCATTGACCAAGAATACCATGTTCTTTTTTCAGATTAATGTGGGGATTAGGGAAAGTTTATTTTCCTGGGTATACCCATCTCCTAGGTGGGTAAATTACTTTCCCACATAGGGGGGAGAGGGAGGAGGGGAGATTCCAACACTTAAATGGGACAAAAATGCCCCATTTAATAATGGATTTTTATGGCTAAAATGATTATTTTCATTTTTACTTAGGCTAAGTTTATCCACAGTGTAAATCATTGAGGTAAATCATGGGTTATTGAGAGTGTAAAATGAAAACCAAATGTTTGTCCCATTTAACACTCTTCACATTTGGTAAATCATTGAGGTAAAAGTCCACTACTTTCTAACCGAGGGATTGCAGGCCTTGCCAGTGGGCCAAGAAACAGAGCACCGCAAGCGGCGGTGAGCAGCGTATCAAACCCAGAAAACCCAGAAATTGGTGACCGGGGGTTGCAATAGCAGAGGGTCTCATACGTGAGCAGCGGTGAGTGGCGTATTAGACCTAGTTCTTGCACTTGGCCGCTTCTGTTGAAACTCTATCCAAGAATATAATGGGAGCTTGCAATCGACTAGTGGACGAAGAGAAACCCACCACATACGTAGAGTCCATGAAAACCGAATATAATGGGAGTTGCTTCTCTACACCATCATACTCTATCCAAACTTGCATTGGATCTCTGCTTATGAGGTGCAGGCTCTTGTTGATCCCTTCTTCGCTTGGATAATAAGCCGTTGGAGTTGATTCAATCGACTTAAGGTTGTTCACATCGATCCCAACATGATTATAATTTATATTAGCAAATTCGGGGCTAAGAATTGTATCTAGCTCTACGACGAACACATGATTGGAGAAGTCTCCATTGTTGGTTTCATTGAACAGTCCCATGTAGACTTGCCACAACACCTAGGAACCCCATGAATGGCAAGAAAGCCAATAGTCAATTGGGGAACCATGGCAAATACAAAAGTGGTAGAGAAGGAGAGAGAGTGAGGATATTCAGGTGAAGAGGAGTTAAACCTTAGAGGAGATGGGTACAGAGCATGACCAATCGGTTCTTGCCCCAACAACCACTGCTGTTGTCGATGGTCAACCACAGTAGGAGTCAACCACTGCTGTTGCCGCCTCTCTGTTCTCGTCGGAGGAAGACGATCAACAGATAACCCTATCTCGAAAGAACCTTTCCCCAACAGAAGTGACTACGGACAGATCGCGGGATCAAGTTTCACACTTTACCCTTTAAATGTTGGAGAGATCGGTAAAGTTTTACATCTATTTTAGCAATGTAAAATCGAACCCGGGTGTAAAGTTTACCCCAGTTCTCATTTACACCTCTATCAAATGCAACCTTGGAAAATAAAAGAACATGAATAAATACACTTACCCCCTTCTCAAGAAAAACTTACCCATATAAGTGTATTTACCTAGATAAATAACTTACCAAAAAGCAAACGGGACCCTCCGACCACATTTAGTACACAGGTTGAAGACATTTTCATAAAACACTCTTATGGTTTGTTAACTGTGTTAAGTCATAAAATATAAAGTTTTATTTTCACATTTGATTATGATTAAGGGTAAAATATAAAAGTCTATACTAATTAATTAGGTTTCTAACGGTCATAAAATTTCCCCTAAAGTTTTATTTTCACAAAAACCTCTCCTAAAATATTGAAAAAGCCTACAATTATTTCCCTTTTATTATTGTCTTGGACAAAATCTTAGCCTAAAGAATTAGTTTTTCAAAAATAGCCATTTTGTCTTTATATCTATCAATTTATATGAAAATTTACATAAATACCTTTAATAGAAATTTTCATTTTTAATTAAAAAAATCCTTAAATCAAATTGAAAACAATAAAGTAATTTTACCCTATAAAAACATAGATATATTGAATCCTATAAGCCGAAATCTGGTATTTTGAATTATATTGAATGTAAGGGTAATTTAGTAATTTTGAAGTATGAAACCTTAGGGAGGTTATTATAATTGTCAGACACTTCAGGGGAGATTTTTTAAAGCCATGGCGTCGGTTCATGCGCATGGACCGCATGGTCTCGCGTCGAGTCGTCCACACCGCATCACCGCCTACGAGCGGTCGCATGCTTTTCCACCCACCCCAAAGAACTTCAATAAAACCCTCTCCTTCTCTTCGACAGAAGATAGAAGTCGAACTCTGAACAATAAACCCAACAGAGATTCGCATCGAATAGTTTAGATTTAGAATCGATAGAGAAGATGCCAGGTCTTACCTGCAACGCGTGCAACAAGGAATTCGGGGACGATTTACAGCAGAAGCTCCATTACAAGTCTGAATGGCACCGTTACAATCTCAAGAGGAAGGTTTGGTTTCCATTTCTGCCGCTTTTTCTTTTAACATTTGGATTGGGTTTACTGTTTATAAAATGAATGTTTCGTTCGGCTAAATGGATATACTTTGTTTAGTGGCTGAGGGATATAGTTCTGATGGAGATTCTCTTAATTGTCTAATTACCTTTGGTCGATGATTTTTGTGTTTTTGATTTTATCTCAAATTTCTGATTGTCTTTTTTTATAGATCGATTTTCTATTTCTTTCTATTATTTGTTTGTTCTTTAGCTTTACATCTAAGAAATAAATTTTAATCTGGTTGTAACAGAAGAAATTTAATTAACTGAGTTGCTTATATACCGCATATATTATGGGAATTCAACTATCTTGAACAAGTATTATAAATTAAAACAACAATGAAAGATTCACGTTGGAGATAAGGGTTGAAGGGCCAATCACCCCAGCATGAAGGATTTGTTTGCTGTATGGAACCGTTAATAACTGATATGATGGGATTGAGCCAACCTCTTCGGTACACCGATAAGGAGAGATGGTGGAAATATGGAAAGGAAAGAAGGCCATGAGGGGAAAGGAGGGAAGCAGGGAGAGTTTACTCTGCAGCCTACCTCTGGTCAATTGGGGGAGGCACTGTGCGTGAGTGAGAGAGAGGCCACCAAGCAAAGAACCGACTTTGTAAAATTGGGATTTTGATCTCTTAGGATTTTAATTTATGAAATTTACTCGGTTATCCATCTACTCTTTTGTTAAGGGTAGAGTTTGGAAATTGAGAAATATTAAGCATTAAGGATTCCGATTATGTCTATAGACCAATATGTATGAAAGTAGGAAGACAGGATGTCTATAGACCAATTATCAACTGTCATAATATACAAGTTAAAAACAGTAAAAAAAAGGTTATCAAAAGCAGCTCCTTTGAAAGCTTTGTGGCAGATACCCAGGAGAGAAAAGTGCCAATAGCCTTCTTAATAATGATCTTATCTGTGCATGCTACATTTTCAAAAATATAAGCATTCCTTTCTCACCAAATGTTCCATCCTCGTAGCAAGTCATCAGAGTATGTGGGAAACAACTCTTTCCAATAAAATCCCAGCACATTCATTTTGACCTGAAATCCCAAATTCATCTTTTTTCTACCCCGTCCTTAAATATTCTCAAGTATTACTGATTAGAATTCTTGTTTTGACAATCTAGATATATAAGTCATCTTGTGATATTTAGCATCTTCTTTATTTCAATGACCAAACTTCCTTAAGATGTACAAACAAAGATTATCTGCATCATCATGAAATATCTAGATTTGTAGGATTGGTTCTGATACCTAATTGATGGAGCATCAAATTGATGCAAGATGCACCTGTAAAATATTAAAATGAGAATGAAACAACTCTGGAATCACAATGAACACTTGGGCCTTGTATATATAAGTTGCTGGCGTTCTTTTTTCTTATACAGAATTTGTTGGAAAAGAATACTCTGGTAATCTGCTAATGAACTTAATGCACTTTTTGCTTATTCTTTTGGTAAATTCTGCTTATAGCGTTAGTGCATTGATGGTAATGAATTTGCCAACTGTTGGAGTTTCTCATTTAGGATATTTTTTACCAGGTTGCAGGGGTTCCAGGAGTAACTGAAGCATTATTTCTTGCTAGACAATCTGCACTAGCCGAAGAACAAAATAAGCTAAATGAGACCCCCATGCTTTACAGCTGTGGTCTTTGTGGCAAGGCATATAGGAGCTCCAAGGCTCATGCTCAACATCTTAAATCACGGACTCATATTATGCGGGCTTCCCAGACAACAGATGGCCATCAAATTGTTGGGGATACAATAATTAGGCCACTCCCAAATCGTGTCACAAATAAGTCTCCCCAAGAGGAGGTAAACAATGAAGAAAGTGGAGATGAGTGGGAGGAGGTTGGATCCGATGATGATTTAGTTGGAGAGGCGACAGCATCTTTGACCCATTTGAATGTGGAAGAGCCTCCCTCAGATGATGATATGGATGAGGACGAGGAGTTTGAACCATCCTGTTGCTTCATTTGTGATATGAAGCATGGAACCATAGAAAGTTGCATGGTACACATGCACAAGCAGCATGGGTTCTTCATCCCAGATATTGAGTATTTAAAGGATCCCAAAGGCCTCCTTACCTATCTTGGCCTTAAGGTATTATGAGATTTTTATCATCGTGCTTTTAAAATTCTTTTTATTTTAATTTAACCCATCTGGCTTACAAAGTTGGAGTTGTTCAGCTGCATGCTTTTAAACCTGACCTTTTGCCCTTCTTTCTTTCAGGTCAAAAGAGATTTCCAGTGCTTATATTGCAATGATGGGTGCCATCCGTTCAACAGTTTGGAAGCTGTGAGGAAGCACATGGTGGCAAAAAGTCATTGCAAAGTGCGTTATGGTGATGGGGATGATGATGAGGAAGCAGAGCTGGAGGAATTTTATGATTATAGCAGCAGGTTTTTTCCTTGCATTTTCTTCTGTTTGATTGTTACCGTTATTCAGAAGTTTTGACATATAATATAATGGTGTTTGTCCTTAACAGTTATGTGGATACAAATGGGAAGCAGCTGGTTGCTGTTGATGAAATGTCCAACACTGTTGAACTTGGAAGTGGTGGATCTGAGCTAGTGATAACAAGAAAAGGGGAAGATGGGATATTGACCAAAACTCTTGGTTGTCGAGAATTTATGCGCTACTATCGCCAGAAACCTCGACCGTCTTCAACAAGGGATGTTTTCCTTGCTGCTGCATTGGCTTCGAGGTTTGTTTAAACTTTGATGTTGTGTTGATATAAATGACAGTACTTGATAGGGAGAAAGAACCATCAAATAGTAACTAGTGAGGTATTCTTGTTTGCAGGTACAGGAGCATGGGCTTGGTGACTGTGCAATCCAGAGAACAAGTTGTAAGGATGAAGGTGCTTCGGGAGATGAATAGGTCTGGGGTACAAGCAATGCAAGCAAAGATTGGAATGAAGAGTAATGTCATTAAGAACCTCCCCAAGAATGTCCCATATTGATCCTGGGCTGAACTGAATGAACCCTTTCTCGGAAGTAGAGTGTTATTACCTATTTTTATGGCTTATTGAAGTTCGAGGTTATAAATTTGCTCAACTGATCACTAAATGACTGAAATATGGTGACTTGTTTAGGCATGGTTTTCTTGAGACACGATTATGCGTCTGATGGTTTTTTGAGTTATCAACTTCTGAGCAAATTTTTATGTTTGATTGCTATGTTTTGCTATTTTTTTACTTTCTAGAAACATAAGATCAAACTTGGTGATTTACATGAAGTTATAGCACAACAAACCCTAAATCGAAAAGTTTCTGGATCTGAGGGAATTTTTAGAGATCTTTTAGATTTTGAGCCTTGCCTATAAGTCAAGATTACCAAAAGGCCATTCATTAGGAAAGCCCAATGAACCACAGGTACTTCAAACCTTATCTTCAAACTTTATACATACAAATGTATGTGGTTTTATAAACGTAAGGTTTAGAGGTGATATGTCTACTTCATTACCGATTTACATAGAGGCAATGTTAGACATTAACTTTGGTTGTTGGGAACCGACAACATAGGTTGTTGAGACAGTTTGGTTGTTGGGTTTTAGTTAAAATAAATTAAGATGTAATTACTAATTTATCCATTCTCATAGTAACATGACATTTCAAGAAACTGTCTCAACAACATATATTGTTGGTCTCAATAGCTAAAGTTTTTCCAATGGCTCAATATTAAAGTTTAGACATGCAATTGAGGCAATCAACATATGGACTAGAGCAAGCTTCTAGAAGTTGCATGTAAATATCTTCAATAAGAACATTTAGTTTATCTACTCATTGGGATTGATGTGAACATGTTGTCAGTAGTGAAGATATGACTTTCACAATAAATCTAAGTGGATTACTGGACTCTCACAAGCAACTTACATTGATAAGATCATTAAGATTCAAGCATTCGATTGCTATGAAGAACATATTAAAATGCTTTTGGAGGACAAGGAGTAAAACTTGGTTATCCCTCCATATGTAATTTCACCATTAGGGTTTCTAGTAGACTTGTTGACTTGGCAATCAGGTTGGGTGGGTTGGGCATGGGTTGGGTTGAGGCACTTTCAAGTTGATTTCGGGTTGGGTTGTGTCGATGAAGCCTAGACCTTCACCCTAAACATTAAGGTTAGGGTTGACCCATGAGTTAACTCGGTACAACCCTATCAATTATTGAAAATTCAAAAAACAAAATATTTGTTAATTAAACTATTAAATGAATTAATCTAAAATTCTAATCTTGAAAAGAAAGTTTCACTCAGTTGATCTTTATGAAAAGAAAGATCGACTCTTCCCCCAACAAATTTACCAACAACTGTAAAAGACTTAAAAATTCAAAAATTCAAAAAAAATGAACAATAAAAGTAAAAATTAAATACCAAAGATAGAACTAATATAAATAGATGAGTAGATGTCCAAAAGACATGCAAATGTTCTAAACTTCCAACACAAATTTAAACAAATTAAAATAAGCTAATTTTAAGTTCAAACAAATTTCATCATCTTTAAATTTATTCCTCCTCAAACTCTAATGGACATAAAGCTTCCAATGATGATCCTTCAAGAATGCTTGACTTAGAAAAGTGCACCTCTAATCCTGTCATTTCCTTGGTCTCATATCATTGACTACATTAAATCAAGGAAGATAAAATATTAAAACATTAATAATGTAAGCAATAATTTGATAATTAAACAAAAATATATATTATCATCTAAATAAATTATAAAGTTTGACACAAATCAAAATAAAAATTTATCTAACCATAATATCTAAATAACCAATTATCAGTAGTGATCAAAGATTATGTGTTTTCTAGCAAAAGATACCTGATGATGCGCATTTTGGCAGCTCCCAACTGGCTAATGACTTAGATGCTTGGCTGAATAATCCCTACCTGGAAGGTGGCTTGGATGCCTAGCTGAATGGTTCTTACCTGGAAGGTGTCTTGGACGCCTAGCTGAATGGTGACGAGCTGGAGATGTGGCTCTGATGCCTAGCTAAATGGTAACGAGCTAGAGAGGTGGCTTTGATGCCTAACTGAGTGGTGACGAGCTGGAGAGGTGGCTTTGATGCCTAATTGAGTGGTGACGAGCTAGAGAGGTGGCTTTGAAGCCTAATTGAGTGGTGACGAGCTGGAAAGGTGGCTCTAATGCCTAGCTATTGGTGACAAGCTGGAGATGTGGCTTTGATGCCTAATTGAATGGTGACAAGATGGAGAGGTGTCTCTGATCCCTAGCTGAATGGTGACGAGTTGGAGAAGTGGCTTTGATGCCTAACTGAGTGGTGACGAGCTGGAGAGGTGACTCTGATGCCTAGCTGAACGGTGACAAGTTGGAGAGGTGGCTCTGATGCCTAGCTGAATAGTGACGAGCTGGAGAGATGACTCTGATGTGACCTGCAAGGAAACAGTGTCAGAGTGTCCGAGTTGCTTTACCCGAGGTGGGCACTCCGATGCTTAAGTTAGCAAATCAGAGATTAGCAAAATGTGAGAGAGATGGAGAGCTGTGAGAACTAAAAATTGCGCATCTACCTGGGTCTTAGGGGCTGATGCCTTTATATAGTTAGGCTGTCGTGGGTCTTGGTAAACGCTCCCGGAATCCTCGGCCCACGACGTAGAGGTTTGTTCCGCTTTGGAAGGAGGATAGCGTGCCGGTTAATAAGGCTTACCATTTCCCTCCGATTCGGGTGGGGTGTGGATAAGGCCTACGATTACGCGACGTGATCCCAAAAGGTTCAAAGACAACTAGCAAGCTTCTAGAAAGGTAGGTCGCCAAGTTGGCGACAGAGGCAGATCGCCAAGTCACCAGGTCGGCGATAGAGGCAGGTCACCAGGTCGGTGGTGGAGGTAGGTCGCCAGGTCGGCAATAGAAGTAGATCGTCAGGTCAATAGTAGAGGTAGGTCTCTAGGTCACCAGGATGGCAGCAGAAGTAGGTCACCAGGTCGGCGGCAGAGGCAGGTCACCAATTGGGACCTGGTTTTGGCTAAGGAAAGTTGTCGCCTAGGTGATGCTGGGATGTAGTCCAGTTGTTCTGATATGCCATGTGTCATGATGTCAGTGGAGGGCCAAATCTGCCCTCATCAATTGCCCCCCAATCCCAAGCTGAGATCAACTCAGTGAAGGGAGTAGATTCGTGCTTCATCATAGGTCCTTTGGCCTGTTACCAACATATTTCGAGGTCGGCTTAGGGGTCCTTGATGTTGAAAGCGGTTTGGCTTCCCCTTGCGATATGTGTGTCGATGTTGGAATTTAAATAGCGGGTCGGTGTCACGGCTGCACTGTGTCAGTCCTCTAAGGTGCTGGTCGTCTACTCCTACGACAAGCCACAAGGAGCTCAACCTACGGGGGCAACTTTACTAACTTGCCAGCTTGCATGGGAACCTTGAAAGGCTCAACCCGCAAGGGCGACTGCAGTCCGTTGGCCGTCGACTCCCGTCGGAATCACAAAGGGCTCGACTTGTAGGGGTGACCTCGCGAACAGGGCTGACAAGGCTCGTCCAGGCTGATTATGTGTGTCACTAGGTCGGCGGAGGTAGGTCGCCATCTCGACGGTAGAGGTAGATCGCTAGGTCGGTGGAAGTAGGTCGCCAGTTCGGAGGCAGGTCTCCAGGTCGCCAGTTCGGAGGCAGGTCTCCAGGTCGCCAGGTCATCGGAATTTTGACAGTCTAGTTTTGCTCTCAGCACCTCAGCCTACATGCACCTTGTCACCTCGACAAGACTGACCTACGAGGACAACTCCACAACCAGCTGGCCATTAACTCCCACGTAAAGCATGGAGGGCTCGATCTGTGGCATGACCTCACAGTTTGTTGGCTATCAACTCCCACGGAAACCATGGAGGGCTTGACCTGTGGGGTGGCCTCACATTCTGTTGGCCGCCAACTTTCGCAGAGAGCACATAGAGCTCGACATATGGGGGTGGCCTCACAGTTTGAGACATTTTTGTCCGGGCAAGACTGCGAGAACTCGTTTGGGCTAATCATTTTGTTTCTATCCCCCTAGGGGGTTCTTTCGATCAAGCGCTGTTATTGTTGCTTGAAGGTGTTATTACTTGAGGCTCAGAGAATTGGGTGAGAACATAGCCTTTTGTAGCGCCTCCCACAAACAGCGCCAATTGATGATGCGCATTTTGGCAGCTCCCAGCTGGCTAGTGATTCAGATGCTTGGCTGAATAATCCCTACCTGAAAGGTGGCTTGGACGCCTAGTTGAATGGTGACAAGCTGGAGAGGTGACTCTGATGCCTAGCTGAATGGTAACGAGCTGGAGAGGTGGCTCTGATGCCTAGCAGAATGGTGACAAGCTAGAGAGGTGGCTCTAATGCCTAGCTGAATGGTGACGAGCTAGAGATGTGACTTTGATGCCTAACTGAATGGTGACGAGCTAGAGAGGTGTCTCTGATGCCTAGCTAAATGGTGACAAGCTGGTGAAGTGACTTTGATGCCTAACTGAGTGGTGATGAGCTGGAGAGGTGGCTCTAATGCCTAGCTGAACGGTGATGAGTTGGAGAGGTGGTTCTGATGCCTAGTTAAATGGTGATGAGCTGGAGAAGTGGCTCTGATGCGACCTCCAAGGAAACAGTGTCAGAGTGCCCGGGTTGCTTTACCCTAGGTGGGCACTCCAATGCTTAAGTTAGTGAATCAGAGATTTTAAGATAACAAAATGTGATAGAGCTGGATAGCTGCGAGAACTGAAAATTGCGCATCTACTTGGGTCTTGGGGGATGATGCCCTTATATAGTTGGGTTGCCGTGGGTCTCGCGAAACGCTCCCGGAATCCTCGACCCATGACGTAGAGGTCCGTTCCTCTTTGGAAGGAGGATAGCGTGCCAGTTAATAAGGCTTACCGTTTCCCTCCAATTCAAGCAGGATGAGGATAAGGCCTACGATTACACAGTGTGATCCCGAAAGGTTCAGAGACAACTGATAAGCTTCTAGAAAGGTAGGTCGCCAAGTTGGCGACAAAGGCAGGTCGCCAGGTCGGCAGTGGAGGTAGGTCGCCAGGTCAGCGATAGAAGTAGATCGCCAGGTCGACGACAGAGGCAGGTCTCTAGGTTGGCGGCAGAAGTAGGTCGCTAGGTCGGTAGTAGACGCAGGTCGCCAGGTCGATAGTAGAAGTAGGTCACCAGGTCGGCGGCCAAGGTAGGTCGCCAAGTTGATGATAGAAGTAGATCACCAGGTCA